GTCATTCTCATCTCATTTTCATCTCATTCATGTCTCATTCTCGTCTCATTTATGTGTCATTCTCATCTCATTCTCGTCTCATTCATGTCTCATTCTCGTCTCATTCATGTGTCATTCTCATCTCATTCATGTCTCATTCCCGTTTCATTCTTGTTTCATTCTCATCTCATTCATGTCTCATTCTCGACTCATTCATGTCTTATTCTCGTCTCATTCTCATCTCATTCTCGTCTCATTTATGTGTAATTCTCGTCTCATTCTCGTCTCATTTATGTGTAATTCTTGTCTCATTCTCGTCTCATTCATGTGTCATTCTCGTCTCGTTCATGTGTCATTCTCGTCTCATTCATGTCTCATTCCCGTTTCATTCTTGTTTCATTCTCATCTCATTCATGTCTCATTCTCGACTCATTCATGTCTTATTCTCGTCTCATTCTCATCTCATTCTCGTCTCATTTATGTGTAATTCTCGTCTCATTCTCGTCTCATTTATGTGTAATTCTTGTCTCATTCTCGTCTCATTCATGTCTCATTCTTGTTTCATTCTCGTATTATTCTCCTCTCATTCATGTGTCATTCTTGTTTCATTCTGATCTCATTCTCGTCTTATTCTTGTCTCATTCTTGGCTCATTCATGTCTCATTCTTGGCTCATTCTTGTCTCTCTCAGTGCGGGTGTCGGGCGTACGGGTGTCTTCATCACCCTCAGTATCGTCCTGGAGCGGATGCGTTATGAGGGCGCTGTGGACATCTTCCAGACTCATTCATGTGTCATTCTCATCTCATTCATGTCTCATTCTCGTCTCATTTATGTGTAATTCTTGTCTCATTCTTGTCTCATTCATGTGTCATTCTCATCTCATTCATGTCTCATTCTCGTCTCATTTATGTGTAATTCTTGTCTCATTCTCGTCTCATTTATGTGTCATTCTCGTCTCATTCATGTGTCATTCTCATCTCATTCATGTGTCATTCTCGTCTCATTTATGTGTAATTCTTGTCTCATTCTTGTCTCATTCATGTGTCATTCTCATCTCATTCATGTCTCATTCTCGTCTCATTCATGTCTCATTCTTGTTTCATTCTCGTATTATTCTCCTCTCATTCATGTGTCATTCTTGTTTCATTCTGATCTCATTCTCGTCTTATTCTTGTCTCATTCTTGGCTCATTCATGTCTCATTCTTGGCTCATTCTTGTCTCTCTCAGTGCGGGTGTCGGGCGTACGGGTGTCTTCATCACCCTCAGTATCGTCCTGGAGCGGATGCGTTATGAGGGCGCTGTGGACATCTTCCAGACTGTCAAAATGCTGCGCACACAACGGCCGGCGATGGTGCAGACTGAGGTAAAACACGCATCACATGACCGACAAACGCTGTTATCACTGACCTCTGAGTCTGTGGAAGATCTCAGTCGTTCTCAGGAAACAACGTCACTCATGCAAATAGTGTGATTCTTGCTGTTATAGGAGAAATGCAAAAATCAGCTTATTATTTTTTTAATCACATCTTCCCATCTGTCTGTTCTCAGGACGAGTATCAGTTCTGCTATCAGGCCTGGAGTACCTTGGAAGTTTTGATCACTATGCAACATAAGAAGAACGCCAACCTGTACAAAACCTTCCCCCTCAACAACCCCACAAACACCCGCAGAGGAACGACGACAACACGTGAAACACACACAGACTGCGACGCAGAGCAGACGTTCTCTCAGGAGCTCCAGGAGACGCTCTGCGTCACAACGCAAACTATTACCTCAGTGTTCAAATATTGATATTAATGTTGTGGTCGGCTTTTTAGAAATATTAAACTATGGATGAAGACCTTCTTCATAACAACAGGAAAATATTACATGTACAAAATCTATTTAAAGCAAAACAACGAGAAAAAAAGAAACTATGAAATCAAAAGCCTGGATAATTGCTGCACCCTTCAGTGGGAGTTTCTTCGAACTGTATTTGCCAACGTCAGACGTGAATGAGCGCGAGCCCGTCTGTGCCTGCTAGAGTCATCGTTGCCATCCCAAACAAACGTGTCGGCGCCGCAGAACGGAAGCAGATCTCCTACCTTCTGTGCCTAACGGAGCGACCGCAGCCAACGCTGTACATTAGCACACGTGATATAATCTCTGATCCTCGGGAGCTGTGCACGAGACGGACTGAACTCTGTGAATACTGTATTCGGTGTGTCTCTACATGACTATATGCTGCTTACACCGTGTTTGGAGGCAGAGGGCGTTTTCGAGGCTTGAATCTCATATCTGTATCATGTTCTTTTGCTCCTTTCTGCTGTGGCATAATGTACTCCGCTGTGTCTTTATGGTGGGACGACGGAAGAGCCTCGGTTATTGGGTTCACAGATAAATGCACGTTCTACAGGAATCGCGAGATTCATTCCCCAGTATTTCCAGCCACGCGTCAAACGCTAGAAAGACCTTCTGAGATGGTTGCATTCTCCCTCGATCAGACGAACCCGACGAAACTCTTCCCGTCATGTTTAGTTTAGCGCAGACGTGACGTTTAGGAGTAGCGCCGGAAGCGAGCCGGTTCTGAGATCTCCACCTGAGACGTGAAGTGAGCCTTATCGTTGTTGTCAAATATTTAATCGACCTGATTTTTTTATTTCGCTTTGTTTATATTATGCTTGAATTTTTTAAGGATCTATTTATTTATATGATTTTTATGGCAATATAATTGGTGAGCTGTGGTGTAGTTGGCCAGCTAATGTGACTGTACATGGCTCAGATGTACAGTGTTGTGCTTCGTATCCCTCTCAGATATTTTGATATTTCCTGTGCACTGATTGTTCTAGAGGAAGCTGACGGCCCGCGGCCCTCCGGAGCCCAAACCTCACCGAAACGGTCGTGAAGTATCGCTCCTTCGCAAACAAAACGCACGTGTTCTTAGACATTACACACGTTTCTCATCAGCATTATCAGTCAAACAAAACGAGCTGAAGCACACGCAGAGAGACGATATCAGCCTCAGATCAGCGTCGCGCCGCTGCGTCACAAATCTGCAGTGTACAGTACAGCGTACAGTGATGCACCGCGGTAAACTGCACTGACTCAACCCAACAAAATCTACCACGGTAATACCATGTTACCATGATTTTCACAAGTGACCTCCAGTCATTTTAACTGGAATACACGTGATTCGCATGAGGGCCAAAGATTTCCACGTGCAGATCTTGGTCACATGGATTCACAGCGTTGACCAATGAAAAGCTGCTTGGTTTAAGCGTGACTTGCTTGTGAGCTGTGCTTTTTACATCACGACGCTATTGACCAGAAAATTACGGAAGCTCATTTCCACCACGGAATATAAAAATAAAGCAGGTAATTACGACTTTTTGTCTCACAATTTTGACTTTTTTCTCACAATTCTGAGTTTATTCAGAATTTCGGAGGGAACGTCAGAATTGTGAGTTAAAAAGCTGCAATTACGTTTAAAAAAAAATTTTTTTTTAATGTTATTCTGTGGTGGAAATGGGCTTTTAATAAAAAGGACAATACATCCTTTTTACCTGTAAATTTTTGCTAATGTGACCACACCCTTACACAATATTGCTGAACTTATTATCCACACGTTCTGTACATTTTAGAAAATGATGCTTCTGCTAATCGGCCAGGTGAATGTGGTTATTGGCTGCTGCTGATGATCTCAATAAAGACAGAATATCAGCTGATGAATTGTGGTGTTCTGTCAGTAGTAGCGCAGTATCAGCATCACTGTACCGTAGTACCAGCTCATCCTAGTAAAGGAGACGCTGATCTGCAGGTTTTCTCTCTTCATGAATTGAAGCACACTGAGACGCGATTCTGCTCTCATTGAAATATTCTATCAAATGTTCCTTTAATGATGAAAGCACTCAGACGAACCAAAAGCAACACCTGATCAGTGAACGTGGGCCGCGTGCTGATGCACAGTAGTGTTTCACTTTCTCTGCTTATTGATTTCAGATCAAGTATGTAGATAATATGTCGACTTTGTATTAAAACTGAACGACTGGATATACTGACGTGAAGACCTTGTGTGTGTGTCGTCTGTTATTTCATATTGCATATTCATATTGCATATCATCTGTGATTATTTTAAACTCCAGTGGAATCGACCGGTTTCTGATTCTCACTTTTGTGACTCATGATCACTATCACATTTTCACCACTAGGAAGTGCTGCTACTCGCATACAAACACATAATCCTCTATTGTTTATGTAGAAAGATGATTATGATAATAAATACAGACTGATTTAGAAACCTATAATCTTATAAATATCTGCAATAAATATATTTGTGTGTGTGTGTGTGAGAAAGAGAGTTCATATTTGTGTGTGAGTGTGTGTGAGAGAGAGAGAGTGTGTGTGTGTGTGTGTGTGTGTTCAGGTGAGTTATTTGCTGCATGAACTCAATCTTTTTTCTCTCTGTTGGGATTTTGCTTTGGATTCACATGAAACATTTAAGAGTGCTGTGAAGAGTTTCTGTGCTGTGAAATGCAGCGTATCGCAGCTTCATCAGACTCTTATTAGTTCGGTCAGGGTCACTTGAGTTTAATTTCAGTGTCAAAGTGTTGCCTGGATACAGATTGAGCTTGCTGTCTTTGAACTTCAGTCACGTTTGAAATATCAAGTGACTCTGAATAATTATAATGCTCCGTCCTCTGAAGACTATCTGAAGATGAACACGTAAGGACCATTTAAAAAACAACCTTGACTGAAAGATTGACATCATGTTCATTAACACAAGAAATCTGAAGAGAGCAGAGGTCTGGAAAAAAATCTATATTGATTTTAAATTTTTATTTTCAAAGAATGAATCTGGAGTATTGCTGTTTCATCTTTTAATGCATTGATGGTTCCATGAAGAGCCTTCAACATCAAGGTTCTTTATAGTAGAACACACTCACACTCACACACACACACACTCACACTCACACACACACAGTGCTTCAGCTCATGTTATTCTCAGAATGATGATGATGATGATGTTCTGCTGCAGGAACAGCTGAAGCTGAAGGTGGAACTAGAGCGTCTGGAGAGCAGAAGAAACACACCGAACCAGAGCAGATGTGAATGTCATCAGGTAACATGTTAATGCTGATGTAACAGTTCCCTGTGTGTGTGTAACGTGTGATCAGCACACACGCACACACACAATCACACACACGCACACACAATCACACACACACACACACACACACATGCATAAGAAGGTCCTTGTCTGTGTGTGCGTGCTCAGGTGTGTGAGATGCTCTAATGTGTCTCAGAGGTTGTGTAACACACACACACACACACACACACACAGAGTTATTCATGAAATTCGAGAATCTGAGAATCTTCAGTCTGACAGCAGAACCTCCCACTCATTGTTTCTGCTCATTTCGTTGTGTTGTGTTTCATGTTTCATTGTGCTGTCTGTATTCACTGATTTGTTTCTTGTTTGTAACACCGTCTCCTAACATGTCTGCACGCAGTTCCCGGATTAGGAATTCAGAGGCCCCTGGGCACAATGTCTTGTCGGGCCCCCCACATCCACACGCGGACACACACACACACACACACACGTGCACAATCAAGGTTTTAAATTATAGGAGTCTATTTGTTGGAGACACCTCTAGCTTACACAGGATTTACACTCACAGGTTACAGCCTATGATCACATCCTCTATCATACAGGATTTACATCACATGATTGCAACAATACTTTCCTGGACCAGCAGCAATCTTTGCAATAAGTGTAAATAGTAATTATGTTATCTGTACTTTATATTGGCAGATATTATTTGCACCTCAGTATTTTTGTATATTAACAGAATAATAACATAGGGGCTCATTCATGAAACTTGTGTAAATATGTGAGTAAATTCATAGTAATCTGCCCGTAAAACAGACCTTCCCGAAAACTCTCCTCCAGATTCACAAACGCTTCGTAAACATCAGATTTGATAGTTAAACATGTGTATGTGAATGAATTCCAATCATTCGTAAATCCATTCACTCACAGCATTCACAATAAACATAATCACCGCCTATGAATTACAGCTACGTAAGTTACGTGTCCAGCAACTCTGGAATATTCTGGACTCGCTTCTCAGGTTTAAGAGGACTAATAGGCCATATGCCTAACAATAAATATTCAAATGAACGTGTCCATCAAAGCATTTTTAGCCAGGTGCTCTTCTGAAAACGGCCAGATGGTGGCGCTTGAGAACTCTTTGGTGGCACAGTGTTTTTCCAGCTGAAGATGTGGTTGCTATGATGTGGAATATTCACGGCAGTAACGTATTACTAGTATCTCATTTCGAAGAATATAACTGAATATAAAAATGCAGTAACCAGTAATATTAACTTCTCCATTGTTGCTCAGTCGTTGTACAAGTAGGATTGTTGGTCGGTGTAGCATGTGTACATCTCTTTCATACTAACTAACAGTTTGAAAATACGAACATTTTCTTGAGTTCGAAAGTTTATGTCAGAACGGCTTTATGAACGATTTACACAAAAATTCGTTCTGCTCGTGTTTCATGAATGAGGCTTGGGCCCCAAGTGCGCATGGGTCCCTGGGCCTGTGCCCATAATGCACATTGGATAATCCAGCCCTGCCTGCATGTGATTGGTTGGTGATAGGGGGCAGTCGTGGCCTAATGGTTGTAGAGTCAGACTTGTAACCCAAAGGTCGTGGGTTCGAGTCTCTGCACCGGCAGGGATTGTAGGTGTGGGGAGTGAGTGACCAGCGCTCTCTTCATCCTCAATACCACGTCTGAAGAGAGACCCTTGAGCAAGAACCGAACCCCCAACTGCTCTCTGTGTGTGTGTGTGTGTGTTCACTACTCACTGCTGTGTGTGTGTGTGTGTGTGTGTGAGTGTGAGACGGCT